GAGGGACAGGTGAGGGACAGGTGAGACAGATGAGAGATGGGTGAGGGACAGGTGAGAGACACAGATGGGACAGGTGAGGGACAGGTGAGAGCAGGTGGACACAGGTGAACACAGGGACAGCCCAGGTGAGTCCTGGCCAGCCCAGGTGAGTGCTGGGACAACCCCAGGTGTTTCCTGGTACACCTCAGGTGAGTCCTCAAAAGCCCAGGTGTGTCCTGGCACCCCCAGGTGTATCCAGGTGTGCCCAGGTGTCTCCAGGTGTTCCCCAGGTGTGCCCAGGTGCGTACCCGGCCCCGACAGGTGACCTCCTCGCCCTGCATCAGGCAGGTGCCCACGGCCACGTAACCCTTGAGGCCCGACACCGTCTCCTCGGAGCGCAGCGACACCGTCTTCATACAGGTAACGTGTTCCCACTCCTCCAGGGCGATCCTGCACAGGTGACAACAGGTGAGAACAGGTGAGAACAGGTGAGAACAGGTGAGAACAGGTGAGAACAGGTGAACACACAACACAACACCCCCTTCATACAGGTAACGTGTTCCCACTCCTCCAGGGCGATCCTGCACAGGTGACAACAGGTGAGAACAGGTGAGAACAGGTGAGAACAGGTGAGAACAGGGGGAACTGGGGGGCTCAGGGGGGCTCACAGGAGGGCTCAGGTGGGCACAGGTGAGCTCAGGAGGGCTCAGGCGGGCACAGGTGAGCTCAGGAGGGCTCAGGCGGGCACAGGTGAGCTCAGGAGGGCTCAGGCGGGCACAGGTGAGCTCAGGAGGGCTCAGGCGGGCACAGGTGAGCTCAGGAGGGCTCAGGCGGGCACAGGTGAGCTCAGGAGGGCTCAGGCGGGCACAGGTGAGCTCAGGAGGGCTCAGGCGGGCACAGGTGAGCTCAGGAGGGCTCAGGCGGGCACAGGTGAGCTCAGGAGGGCTCAGGCGGGCACAGGTGAGCTCAGGAGGGCTCAGGCGGGCACAGGTGAGCTCAGGAGGGCTCAGGCGGGCACAGGTGAGCTCAGGAGGGCTCAGGCGGGCACAGGTGAGCTCAGGAGGGCTCAGGCGGGCACAGGTGAGCTCAGGAGGGCTCAGGCGGGCACAGGTGAGCTCAGGAGGGCTCAGGCGGGCACAGGTGAGCTCAGGAGGGCTCAGGCGGGCACAGGTGAGCTCAGGAGGGCTCAGGCGGGCACAGGTGAGCTCAGGAGGGCTCAGGCGGGCACAGGTGAGCTCAGGAGGGCTCAGGCGGGCACAGGTGAGCTCAGGAGGGCTCAGGCGGGCACAGGTGAGCTCAGGAGGGCTCAGGCGGGCACAGGTGAGCTCAGGAGGGCTCAGGCGGGCACAGGTGAGCTCAGGAGGGCTCAGGCGGGCACAGGTGAGCTCAGGAGGGCTCAGGCGGGCACAGGTGAGCTCAGGAGGGCTCAGGCGGGCACAGGTGAGCTCAGGAGGGCTCAGGCGGGCACAGGTGAGCTCAGGAGGGCTCAGGCGGGCACAGGTGAGCTCAGGAGGGCTCAGGCGGGCACAGGTGAGCTCAGGAGGGCTCAGGCGGGCACAGGTGAGCTCAGGAGGGCTCAGGCGGGCACAGGTGAGCTCAGGAGGGCTCAGGCGGGCACAGGTGAGCTCAGGAGGGCTCAGGCGGGCACAGGTGAGCTCAGGAGGGCTCAGGCGGGCACAGGTGAGCTCAGGAGGGCTCAGGCGGGCACAGGTGAGCTCAGGAGGGCTCAGGCGGGCACAGGTGAGCTCAGGAGGGCTCAGGCGGGCACAGGTGAGCTCAGGAGGGCTCAGGCGGGCACAGGTGAGCTCAGGAGGGCTCAGGCGGGCACAGGTGAGCTCAGGAGGGCTCAGGCGGGCACAGGTGAGCTCAGGAGGGCTCAGGCGGGCACAGGTGAGCTCAGGAGGGCTCAGGCGGGCACAGGTGAGCTCAGGAGGGCTCAGGCGGGCACAGGTGAGCTCAGGAGGGCTCAGGCGGGCACAGGTGAGCTCAGGAGGGCTCAGGCGGGCACAGGTGAGCTCAGGAGGGCTCAGGCGGGCACAGGTGAGCTCAGGAGGGCTCAGGCGGGCACAGGTGAGCTCAGGAGGGCTCAGGCGGGCACAGGTGAGCTCAGGAGGGCTCAGGCGGGCACAGGTGAGCTCAGGAGGGCTCAGGCGGGCACAGGTGAGCTCAGGAGGGCTCAGGTGGGCACAGGTGAGCTCAGGTGGGCACAGGTGGGCACAGGTGAGCTCAGGTGAGCTCAGGAGGGCTCAGGTGAGCTCACAGGGGCACAGGTGAGCTCAGGTGAGCTCACAGGGGCAGCCCAGGTGGGCTTAGGTTGGATTTTTGGGGTTCTGGACAAAATCTGGGGGCTTGTCCAGGATGGATTTTGTGGTTCCTGTCAGAATTTTGGGGTTCCCAGGATGAATTTTGGGGTTCCAGGATGGATTTTGGGGTTCCCAGGATGGATTTGGGGTTCCAGGATGGATTTGGGGTTCCAGGATGAATTTGGGGTTCCAGGATGGATTTTGGGGTTCCCAGGATGGATTTTGGGGTTCCAGGATGGATTTTGGGGTTCCCAGGGTGATTTTGGGGTTCCCAGGATGGATTTTGGGGTTCCAGGATGGATTTTGGGGTTCCCAGGATGGATTTTGGGGTTCCCGGGGTGATTTTGGGGTTCCCAGGATGGATTTTGGGGTCCCTGGGGTGATTTTGGGGTTCCCGGGGTGATTTTGGGGTCCCTGTCAGGATTTTGGGGTCCCTGGGGTGATTTTGGGGTCCCCAGGGTGATTTTGGGGTCTCACCTGGTGTTGGGAATGGCCTCCCAGCTGACAGGTGAGATGAGCTGGATGCTGAAGGCCTCCTGCTGGGGGGGGACGTAGCGCTCGTCTGGGGGGACAGCGGGGACAGGGGTCAGGGACACCGGGAATGGGGACAGGGGTCAGGGACACTGGGGACAGCGGGGACACCGGGAATGGGGACAGGGGTCAGGGACACTGGGGACAGCGGGGACAGGGTTCAGGGTTGGGGACACTGGGGACAGGGGTCAGGGTTGGGGACACCGGGAATGGGGACAGGGTCAGGGTTGGGGACACTGGGGACACCGGGAATGGGGACAGGGGTCAGGGTTGGGGACATTGGGGACAGGGGTCAGGGACACTGGGGACAGCGGGGACAGGGGTCAGGGTTGGGGACACCAAGGACAGGGGTCAGGGTTGGGGACAGTGGGGACGGGTCAGGGACACTGGGGACACCGGGAATGGGGACAGGGTTGGGGACACCAGGGACAGGGGTCAGGGACACTGGGGACATTGGGGACAGGGGTCAGGGCTGGGGACAGCGGGGACAAACGGGGTCAGGGACACTGGGGACACCGTTAATGGGGACACCGGGAATGGGGACAGGGGTCAGGGTTGGGGACATTGGGGACAGGGGTCAGGGACACTGGGGACAGTGGGGACAGGGGTCAGGGTCACTGGGGACAGTGGGGACAAACGGGGTCAGGGTTGGGGGGGACACTGGGAATGGGGTCAGGGGGACACCAGGAATGGGGACAGGGATTGGGGACACCGGCACCCAGGTGTCCCCAGGTACCCCCAGATGTCCCTAGGTGTCCCCAAGTGTGTCCCAGGTGTATCCCAGGTGTCTCCAGGTGTGTCCCAGGTGTGTCCCCAGGTGTCCCCAGGTGTATCCCAGGTGTCCCCAGGTGTGTCCCAGGTGTATCTCAGGTGTCCCAGGTGTGTCCCAGGTGTGCCCCAGGTGTATCTCAGGTGTCCCAGGTGTGTCCCCAGGTGTATCTCAGGTGTCCCAGGTATATCTCAGGTGTCCCAGGTGTGTCCCCAGGTGTATCTCAGGTGTCCCAGGTGTGTCCCAGGTGTGTCCCAGGTGTGTCCCAGGTGTCCCCAGGTGTGTCCCAGGTGTCCCCAGGTGTGTCCCAGGTGTGCCAGGTGTGTCCCAGGTGTG